ATTGATGATCAAATGTATCTACACCAGTTGCTATAAGCCTATAATATATATATTAGTTAACTTGAAACTGCCATTAATTAATTATGCCAGTCCTTGCACCATATTTATATATAGTTTAGAAGCATTTTAAAATAACTTGTATACGTCATCAAGTTTTTCAGTCTACAAATGGTTGCTTAAAGGCATAATTAAAGCCTAAGTTTGGTGACATGCATAAGCCCTAGGCTCCAAGCTACGTGCATTAATTTGCACTTAGTTATTTTCTAATTAATAAAGTCTTCGTTCAACTTGTCCAATTCATGTACGGGTGATGGGGTATGTCTATGTTAATTGGTCTAACTATAGTTTATAATAAATTTGTTTTATTATATAAAGTAAATTAAATAGTCTAACTGTCTAAGTCTAATTACAATATATTATATTTGTACCAAAAAATAAAAAAATTACAATATATTATATTGTCCTAATAATGTATTGGCGGTAAAGTGAAAGACAATGTGTAATAGGATGATAACATATGGATTGGAATTTGGTGCACCGGATGGTCTGGACTAGTTCTATTTAGTTAAAAATAATTGTTTATACTATCAAATCTTATATTTTTATTTATGTTTTTAAAAGATGATATTTGCTAATAAAAATATATCCTAATTAATTGTTTGTTCGGCCTAATAGAATTGAATTATTATTATTAGTATTATTATTAAATAATTGTGTAGTTTATAATGAGGGGATATCATCACTTCTATATGGAAGTAAATAATAATATAGATCAAAATATTATTTATAATCTCGGTAATGTTGAATATTTCTGAAATAGGTACAAATATTAACAATAAAAATGTGTTCTGTTTCACATCCTTCTCTTTGTGACGTCCCATTATATGCCAACTTACTTTCTAGTACATAATCAACCAACAAGAACATTAAAATAACTGAGTAACAAGTTATAGAAAACTAAGCCGAAGATAACAAGTATTTCCGAGCAATATTTCTCCACCTAAGTTGAAAAAAAAAATTAAAATGGTGGTTATTTTTTAATCCAAACATCAATTTCCTCATAGATAGAAATAAATGGCTTTTATGATGGAAGAAAACAAGGGATAATAAATAAAGCTAAGCTGACAAATGTAATGTAATAAGTACTCATGAAGATTTTAAGGTAACATAGTATAGAATAATTAACTAAAGAAAATAGTTGCCGTTTTAAGGGGACGATTGTATATAGATTATACAGTAAAAAACTCAATCAAAATTCAAATTTAACTTAATTTTAACTTAACTCCACTATATCTAATATTATTAATATAATTTAATAATATCAACCAATCATTCTTACACATCACATCAACTTTAATTCATTATTCATCCACCCACATAATTTTAACTAACCATCAATTCCAATCATTTTCTCTTACCTTTACATCAAATCAACTTTAATTATTTTATTTTAAATATTATTTTAATATATTTACTAACAACTAATCATGCTACTTATTTTCAAATTTAACTTTAGTTAAAAAAATTAATTTTTTACTAGTTGAATTCATATCCAATCACCCTAATTTTTATCCCATTTGTACGTGGAATCCAGAAACAGGGCACAGGGAAAATGTTGAGGGAATTTGGGAACAAACGATGGCTAGTTTTATGTTTGTTTTAGGGCTTGTTTGGAAACACTTATTGAGAAGTGCATATCAAGATGGACTTTTTGAAAAGTGACTTCTCAAGAAGTTTTCAATATAAACTTCTTTGAAATGGACTTTTTGTGGGAGTTACTTTTTTAAAAGTCCATTTTGTTATCTACACCAAACATCTTTTTATATAGCAAATGGACTTTTATAGTCAAAAGTCCATTACAAAAGTGCATTCAAACATACACTTAATCAGTGGCTGGTTAAAGTGAGTGAGACAAAGAGAATTGGTGACTTAATAATAAAAATATCTCACAATTACAAGAGATGTCGTGAATATTGTCCAGGAAACTTAGCAAAGAAGTTGGACTTGATAAATAGTAATAACTAATAATATGGTAAATAGCTCTATCATTACCAAGTATAGTCAGTAATTGTGGAAGTATATTAAATATAGTCAGTTTGTCTTTACAACTGACACAATTACTTTTACCGTTTATGGAGTCAAAGGTTCCCCATAAGCTATTTATGGAGCCCTAGATTCTTCAAAAACGGTTTATGATAATAAGAGTAATTGTGTCATTTCATAAGACAAAATTATTATATTCCATTAAAATCATGCTATATATATTTCATTTTGAAAAGTGAAAAAAAAAACTAAAAAAAGGTTGTACTTTTGATAATATATTTTAGTTAAATATTGTTTTTTAATCGTTGGATCAATATACACTGTGTTGTGTGTTGATCCAACGTTAAAAAACCCGTTGACTACATTGCAGCCACTGGTAGCATCGAATGTTCCCTAAATCGTTTTGTCATTTGGCAAATCCTCTGAAATTAATCAGTGAATAAACTTTATTACAGACAGTAAGTAGCATCAGCCTCACACAACAATACCTTAATAGGACAGCATACATGCATATTCAATTATTCATATAGGGCTACTAAATCTCTCAATGCACAGAGCCATTTTGGCCATTAAGCCTTTGGAAAAAACTCTTGACTCCTTCATAAGTAGACCAGATGATAGCAGCAGCTGGTGCGTGAAACAGCATCCTCGGAGCCCATCCGCGCATCAGCCCACTGTACCCATCTTTCTTCTTAATCGTCTGAATCACATCCACAATCGAGCTATTCGACAACCGATCACACCCACAAACACCCTACATATATACAATCACTCTCAACACAAATTCTTACAGAAAGTTCTACGAATTCTTGAAAGGCTAAAATACAACTTTGGTCCTGTTAAATTATGAAGGCAGCAATTTAGGTCCCACTACTAAGTGACATATAGGAATTTTTGCCCTGTAATTTAATAATATTTTACTGCATTTTAAGTCATACTGGAGTGACATATAGCAATTTAAGTCCAATAATTTAATATTTTATTTGACTGCAAAATATTAAATTACATGACTTAATTTGTTGTATGTCACTCTTGCGGAACCCGAGTTGCTACCTTCATTGCATTCTAACTTCAATTTAGGTCCTCACTGGAGTGACATATAGCGATTTAAGTCATGTAACTTAAATTTCCAAAAATCACTTAAATTGATTAGCAATTTAAGTCTTGAAATTGCATCAAAATATTAAACTACATGACTTCAATTGTTATATGTCACTCTAGTGGGACCTGATTTGTTACCTTCACAATCTAATGGGACTAAAATTACATTTCAGCCTTTCTGAAAATTTACACGATAATTAAGCCCTCGACAGTGCTGAGTCTTACCTGACACTGCAGTTGAGTCTTGACGACGTCAAGCGGAGTCGTGACGACAGCTGCCAGCCCTCCAGCAGCTGCTCCAGCCGTCGCGTGAACCAACAAAGTCTCCTCCTCGTCGCTGTCTTTTTCCAACGAGGCCACCCGAGCCCGGCCCATCATCATCAACCCTCTCTTCGCGACCTCGTAAGTCGCAAAGTGAACGGCCATGAAAGGCGCGTTCATCAAAACCGTTGTCTTATAGCTCGCGTAGAAAGCCCAAACACCTTCTTCCCGAAATACCCTCCCCACGCAATCCCACACGCCTTTATACGGGCTTCCCTCGAGCTGCAGCCTCTGCTTCACCACGTCCATTGGCGTAAGCACCGCATCACTCGAGACGGTGGCCACGACTCCCGAGGCCGCGTGGGCTAAAGAGCTATTCGGGTCACCCCACGAAAGCACCTTCTTGGCGGACTCGTACACGGAGAAGTGAACGGCGTGGGCGGGGCCGGCACCAAGGCCCATTGCAGCAATGCCGCGGTACAAGCCCGATGGGCCTCGGAGCTTCATGATGGACTGAACGAGTGTTGTCGGTGATTGGGCTCGCGAGGAAGAGTTAATGGCGGCCACTTGCATGCGGGTTTTGAGAGTGTCGACCGGGAACATGGCCATGTGCTCCGCTGACCCGGCTAACGAGCCCGCCACCATGAATTGCCAGAATTCGAGCCCGTCGTGCGGTTGAGCTACCATTGTCTAAAAATTTTGCTTGCTTTAAGCTGAGGGAGAATGAGAAAACAGAGTACTCTGAGTCTTGAGATATGCATTAATTGCTTTATAGTTTATAATTCCATGTTTTTTGAATGATTGAAGAAAATCAAATTTAAAGCACGTGTTTTTGAGAAACATGTGACATTTATATGATTGCAAGAAAACATAGGAGTAAAGAAGATTTTAGCCGTTGATTTTCTATCACATTTGTACGTGGAATCAAGAGACGGGACACAGGGAAAAGGTTAAGGAGAGTTGGGGACAAACGATGGCTAGTTTTTGCTTTGCTTTTTTAAAGTAATAGAGACGAGAGATAGCACGTTTTCATTTTTATTTTTTTGTGACATCAACATCACGTCCAGGCTTGATTTTGGGCAAATTTGGTGACTTTAAAAAAATTAAAAATCTCTCTCAATAAGAGATTCCAGGAAAATTTCTGCCTCAACCAAATCCTTGATATTTTATCCAAAACTGTATTTTGGACGATAATACAGTTGAACTTGATAATATATACAGTTAAACCGAGTCGAATTTCCAACAGTTAAATATTTTAGCGATCATTAATACAAAAAGGTTTCACCTAAGAAGTTATAGCTGATAAATCGTATACTTCAATCCATCTACAAATAATGGTCCGTTTCTACAAAACTATGAGAATTAGCAATTCATTTCTTGTCTCATATTATGCTTTGTCATTTCTCCTTCAATCATATGTTAATATATATATTAGACAGTTTTTTTTTCATTTTCATTTTAGAATAAAATGTTGATGGTGCGGACAAACAAGAAATCCACTTTACAAAACTTGGATAGAAGATGGTCCATTCTTTTGAGCGACTCCTGGGAAATTTCCAACAAATTGGGTCACTGTCGCAATTCAGAGGCGCTCAGCCCTTTATGGAGTCGAGCTGAATTATGCAAGAAGTTCAATAGATTATGGGAAAATCTTTATTTTTCAACCAAAACGAGTCGAGATCACAAACGATTCGTCTCATATAACAGGGGATACAAAACTAGACGAATAAGAACTCGAGCCAATGCTTAAATTCAATCACGTACAAGCTATTCAACTTTCAAATCATTGCTTTCACAAAATACATATAAGGTGAAAAGTGCAGGTATTATTGAAGGCTAACTAGTCGTGAACAATAGAGTGAATCAAAATAGAAGCCTCATCGGTGGCCGGTGCTGCGGCATCTGCTCCACACAAAAACCAAAAAAAACAATGATAATAACATCATCACTCTATCTCGTTTAACTAAACTCAGATAACCCAGTTTTAAGATTCATTCGCAATTTTATGTGTCTATTTCAATTTGAACTTCTTCTCTAGTAGAACAGTTAAAATTATGATCAACTTAAATCATAAATGTGTTTTTAAAGTTAATAATTCTTGTATTTGTTATCAATTTTTTATATATAATATAGCAAATTAATAATTTCTTGACGAGCTTCAATTTGACAATCATATTACATAGGTAAAATATATAATTATATATATTTTTACAATAAAAATTTAATTATATTATGATAAAATTCTATCAATTAAATAAATTTAGCTATATAGTCATCATATGATCTGAGTTCAAAAAGATAATCATAAAAATATCACTCCAGGTCTGTCATAAACATAGCTCTTTAGAGGAATACTAAAATAGACTCGAGTATAATATTTTTAACTACCCCCCATAATGCTAGTTAAAGATTGTTTACAATTCAAAATATATATAATTGGATAACTTTTGGCATTAGACTACAACTCGATGGTAGACCTAGACATGACCACGGGCTGTGTGAATCGAGCCCTAGTTTGACCGAGTCAGTTTTGGGCCACATATATCGGGCCGGTTCCCAACTGCAATCAGCAATTCGGCCCTTTTTTTTAATTTCTTATTATTTTCCAAATTTTTTAAATTTTTCTCCAGCCCCGGAATTTCCAGTGCCCGTGCATAAGTGCAGGCCGGTTGAAGGCCAAATAGAGCTCGAAACCGATTTTGGCCATGTCTATGTGGATCTTGTAATTAATTAGTTATCCTTTATTTTATTTTTTTTCAATGAGACACACACTCACACAAACAAAACAAACAAAAGTGCAATATTATAGTGCTTTAAAATAGCTTGCTAGGCAACAAAAGGGATAATCTTAAAATAAGGGAATTAATAAATAAAATATTACCAGCTAGAGGTGCAGGCAGGTGAGAAACAATATTATCAATCAAACCTCCTCCTCCACCGCCGCCACCCTCCGCCGCCACTCGCCCATCTCCACCACCTTCTCCACCTTCACTTTTCAAATTACTAAAAACCCCACTGCCCTTTTCTTCCGCTCCATTGCAGACATCATTGTCCTTTGCAACCTTGGGACTCGAAGGCGAAACTAAGTTAGACAGCAACTGGTTTATCAGGCCACCATCTTTCTCTTCTCCTTCATCTTCACCGTCGACTTTCGTAACCAAGGCAGATATGAAATTACTAATTACCCCTCCTCCACCTGAATTGTCCTGCTCCTCTTTTTCTTCACTTTCTCTACCAACATCTCCCTCCTCTTCCTCCTCCCCTACATGAGTTCCTTCTTCTTTGCTCCCGCCATAGGAGACCAAGCCCGATATCTCTGTTAACCCATCTTCCATCTTCAAACCCTTCACTTTTCTTTTTTTCTTCTTTTTTTCTTTTTTCTTGGGACAAATGTCTTCTATAAAGACGGTGGCCATTGGAAAGAGTTCCACGTGTCCTTTAAAACTTTTTTATTGCGTGTGGTTAAATTTTGTTTAGTTATAGCCTTTTATCTCCACATTTTACTCTACATCAAATATATTATGTTTCTATTTATTTTTATTTGTGTATTTTATAATCTATTATGTTATTTTTATTTGTATATTTTATGATTTACATTTGTTATAAATTTTTAATTTTAATAAAATCTCTTGTTTGAATGTATTAAATTTTTTATTATTGAAAAATTATAAAATAAAATTATAATACATCAATAAAGAAAAGAATAAAATTATTACTATATGTTTAACAAAATACAATAATATACAACAATACAATATATATATCATGATTATTTTATTTAAAAAATTATATTCAACAAATATTTTAATGTATGCAAAGAACATACAAAGATAGACCGAGACTCTTTTTGTTGTTGCCACATCAGCATTAGCGCCCAATTCATTTGCACTTGCATTGAAAAATATATTTTTCGAGTCTATTTTCTACATATAATTTATTTTTTAATGAACTCAAAGCATCTAAGGGCCCCATGCATGTTACTAGATTCTGGTCGGTTATTGAAATTGCACGATACTGCATTTTTTTTAATAGTTAATGCAGAGATTCGTTTAAATTTTTGCTTAAATCAATAAATGTGCACCAAAAGAAGTAACACAAAGCACAGAGTAACATAATATAATAATGTATTGATATGATAAAT